TTAGTAATGCTTGTTTGCTTATTTTCTGGGCCATTTGTAGTCAGTTGGAGTCAATGAGTTATTCTTTTGTACAACTCTGTTAAAGATTTATGTAAACTCCCTCCATTCCTTTCCCATGTGATGATTTCTGTGTTATTCAATAAATATATCCCAGATCCCTTTGTTGGAGACAAACCTACACAGATACAGGAACAAACAACACAAGACAGCATTCAGGGGGACACAGATTTAGACTCATACAACAGACAGATACAGAAGTAGAACTATGGAAGTCAAGGAAAGGGAGAAACAGAGAATTCAAATCCAGGCTTGGTCTTAAATTAAACCAAAGGGAGTGTTTCTTTTTTTAACTTCTTTTCCTTAAGATGACACTGAAACATTTTGGGCACTCTGAGGCTATTATTAATTTATTCAAACAAATGTAATGTTTATTTTAATAGGCACTCCCATTATTACAAAGGTGTGGGATAAATTTGTTTGACTGTTAAATGACTGTGTAGGAAGGAAGTGGACTGGGAAAGCTAATGCAGGAGTGCTACATGTGGAGTGACAGGGGCAGCGGAGCTGCTGTGCTTTTGCGTATGGTGAAAGCAGGGGACATTGCACTCGAGTTCGTGAGAATGAGGAATGCATTTTAAAGGATTCATCGTAAAGTTTACTGCTTGAGAAATGAGACTTGTAATAAAAAGCAAACATACAGTTTCCTCAAAAATAACTCACAGTCAACTTTATGCCATCTCAGCCCATCACTGTCTCAAATGGTGTTGAAGCAACGAATGTCCTCCAGTTTAAAGAGAATCCTGTAGGATAATTGAGGTAGAATTTTGACGTGGGTAAAAATGCTCTCCTTCCAGAATCAGATCTTTCCTTTGCAAGATGAGAAACAAATCCATGGTAACTCAGATCTATCCCATAGGAACGAAGCCCTTCCCAAAATTCTACTTTCTTTACTGTTACCTTCACAGAAACCACCAACTCTCTGAGAGTGTCTGAGGCTGTGACCCCGGCCTCTTACTCTGCAAATTTTAGGTGGTTTTTATGTCCAGCTCTGCACTCGTGACTCAGGACAGAGGAGCACCCAGCTCCCTCAGTCTCATCTTCAGAGGATCCTCAGGTAGAAGAAGTTTCCATTCTTCTGCACACAGTCTGTAAGCTCTACATGCCTGAGACAGGCTGGCTTTCTGGTGTGAGCTTAGGAGGCACTGGAGTCTCAGGTGAGAATGTTGCATACGCAGGTAAGGACCCTAAGGGACAAGAGATGAGTAGCTGCTCCTCATCTGCAGATGCACAGATGCAGCCATCAGGCTGGGACACCAACTGGGCTCTGCATCATCCTGCAACATCAGTGCAGTGTGGGGGACTCAGCTGAAAGGAGGGTCTCTGTTCAGAGTAAAACAGCACAGCGTTCTTTCTAGGGTGAGCAGCAGGGCGGCTGTGAGACTCGGGATGCAAAACAAGATCACCAATGTGAGCAAGAAGCAGCTCACTCCTTCCTGGAGATTCCTGGGAAGTGAATACAGTGGAGAGGTAGACAGTGAGATTTAGAAACCTTCTCCACAGCAACCCTGATTGAACTATTAGGTATTGTCAGTCTTGGCAATAGCCCTGTGTCTGAGATTCTTTCTGTCACTACCTAATCTATGTTCAGTCAAAACCAGTATTAAAATAGTGGATAAATTAGGTTTTGTTGTCTTTGATCTAACCTGCATGAAAGTCATTTTCCCATTAGAGAGCAGTGCCCCCTAGGGGCCAAAGAGAAATACAATTTCACAGTCTGAGTGTGTTGCTTTCTCACACACTGTCTTTCTGCCTTTCTAGAATTGACCTTCAAAGGTTGATGATCATACACAAAGAAAGACCAATGCTTTCTAAGGCATGAAATTTACATGAATGAGAGTATAAAGATGTAAACAAATGGACACAAACTGTTTTAGTTTGAGACATTTACCCCTTACATATTTTAAAGGAAACTGTTAGAAACCACAGTATTCAGAAAATCACATGCTACTTTACTGCTAAAATTTGAATGACATAATCAAACAGCACCATGAGTGCACAGTTTGATGGATGCTGTGAGGAATAAAGACCACATTTCCTTTTTCTGTCCACAGCAAACATGACAAATGTGTTGTTGTAAGAAGAGTCAGCTAGGGAGTACTGAGCCAAATCAATTGTAAAAATGTCTCAAGAAAATAACATGCTTAGATGACCTGCTACAGATAATCATTTCAATAAATTCAAAGTCAAAGTCATCATGTGTCAGACTGATTAGAAGTAATTACTTATGCAGAATCGTGCTATCTTTCTTATGAAGATGTAACCTAATCCCAGGAGTAGCACCTGTCATATTCTAGGTTCATCCAACAGGAGACCATGTCCTGCATGCCCACCAGAGGGCAAGCATTCTGAATATCAGTTTCCAATTCCACTATTGAACTTAATGTCCTCATTCTTGAGAGTTAGTTTGAATGCTGTATTATGGCAACAATGTATGTATTTTGTGCCCTTTAAAAAGATGGCATCCTAAGCCTTAACGTATAGCATTCAAAGCAACAATCTTTTTTATTATTATTATTTTTTTTTAATTTTAAATTTATTTATTAAAGATTTCTGTCTCTTCCCAGCCACCGCCTCCCATTTCCCTCCCCCTCCCCTAATTAAGTCCCCCCCCTCAGCCCGAAAAGCAATCAGGGTTCCCTGTCCTGTGGGAAGTCCAGGGAACCCCCACCTCCATCCAGGTCTAGTAAGTTGAGCATCCAAACTGCCTAGGCTCCCACAAAGCCAGTACGTGCAGTAGGATCAGAAACCCATTGCCATTGTTCTTGGTAAGAACACAAAGCACAGAGTCCTCTTTAGCCAGATCAGGCTACACAGTGTGGCAGCAGTGAGAACAGAAAAGAACATGGAAGCAGTCAGAGAGGAGAGACGCAGATTCCAACACTGTAAACTGGCTGGAAATAAATCATGCCTCTGGATTAAGTCACTAGCAGCGACAGTGTAAAATAGCTGTAGCTAAAGACTGTGAAATCTTGGTGGCCACACCTAAGTGTACAATGAATGGATTGTGAATCACATGAATTAACCCAACCCAATCATTCACCTTAGTCAGATCCAAAATATGTTTATGTTCACTTTATTTCACCTGAAAAATAAAATTGCAATTGAGAGAAATGTAAGAGGAAAATCATTCAAAATATCTTACTTTTTGAGAACAATGCAACAGTTTAGATCATGTGATCACCATTCTGGGATCTCCTTAGGCCTTGGATCTGTTTGAGTCAAGAGTCCGTAGCATAAGTTACATTAGGTTCACAATAAATCTTTCTCCAACCATAATAAATATTAGGGATTGATTATCATTTTCATGTTTCAAAAGGAATAGCTTTGTTCATAAAACTATACCTTTGGTTTATTTTTTACTTAGTTTCCTTATTGAATCTTTGCAAATTTCACATAATGCACCCTAATTTTGCTCATGTCTTAGTCCTCCCCCATACCTTCCTCATTTCTGTAGCACCCTCACCTAAAGAAAATTTTCAAAAATCAAACCAAACTAAACCAAATTAAACCAAACCAAACAAACAAACAAAAACAAATCAACAAGATGAAACAAAAAACACTTTCCACTCCTTTATCTTTCCCACCTCTCCAACACCTCATTTGTCATGGTGGCGTTGGGAACCATGATGTATACCCTTTGTCCAATCGGCTTTACTTGTAACTTTCATGAGACTTAGGTTTCTCAATGAGTCTTTGGTTTTTCAATGAGTCTTTTTCTCAGTTCAAGGCCTCTGGTTTCTGGTACACCATCATCACTGGACACTCATAAAAACTCTTTTCAGATATCCCACTGCTGCCAGGAGTCATGGAGATTCCTTTCCCCAGGAACAGTTCCTTTATGAGCTCCAGCAGATGTGGGGGATGCTAGGGAAGGTCAACCCAAGGCTTTGTTATATGGCTAGGTGGTTGCTGAGTTGGTCAGTCTGGGCCACTGAGGCTGCCCCTCTCAGGTGAAGGGTGGAGCCAGATCCCTTACTCCCATGCCAACAGATCTCCCTAACATGTGGTATGAGGTGGAGGCCATCTCTCCTGATGCACCCGGAGGGGGCATAGCTCTCCCACTAGGGTTGGAACCAGCTCTCTTGCTGCAGTGTCCATTGAGGAGCAGGACCAGATTTCCCAGAACCAGTGAAGAGCAAGGCTGGATCAACATGGACCTCTGATTTCATCATAGATGGTTCATCTGGCCCCTTAGGTGACACAAGCCACAGATATCAGCATAGTCCCCAGCTGCAGCAGGAACATGAGCAAAGACATGGACCTTGGCAGCAGCTGGAGTCTGGACAACATCCTGGTTCTGGGTGGAAGAACAAGTCCACCCAGATCATGGCTATGGTTGTGGTAGGAGCATGGTACCAAGACACCAACAGGCCACAGGTTGTAGCCCAACCTGGGGCTTCTGAGAAACCTTTGGTGGCAACATGAGCCTTGGTCTTCAACATAGAACTGGCTGCCATAGAACTATGGACTCAGACATGGACGTCAGCAGCCTCCCCCTTGTTGAGAAACTGTTTCATGATATGACTTTGTGGCATTTCCTGCATCCACTACGCCAAGGTACTGTTCCTTCCTCCTTGAACCCTAACAACAATATACACCTGTATGTATGTTTCTTGTGCCTTTTCTTTCTTTTGTTTAATTTTGCCCATTTGTGTACTAAATAGAGCGATAAAAGAGAAAGTAAGTGTAATATTATGTGGAGGTGCGGAGGATCTGAAAAGAAATCATGGATGTTAAATCTTAATTAAAATATAATGCATACTTTTTCAACAAAAATAAAGTGGAAAATATTTGAGCCACACCAATATGTGTTACATTCATTCCCAGAATAATAAATATTTTCCATGTAAGTTAAACCAACCCTCTTGTGGCTCCTACCTTCCATTTCATATGGAATAGAAGGAGAATAATAAGAATTTCCCCACCCTGTTTTCTGTAGTCTAGCTTAGACTTTGTTGGGGCCCTGTAGGTTTGGGTGTAGGCTGCAGGTGTTCTGGGGAGCACTGTGTGCTCACTGCACAGAGGTAGACAGCAGAGTCACTGGGCTGGGAGTCTCTGATGTGCAGGGAAACAAGCAGACTGGATTTATTGAGCTGAATTGTGAATCTGCCTTTTTTCTTTTCACCATTGGAGACGATGTACATCAGAGCCTTAGGTTCTTCCCCAGGATTCTGTCTGTACCACCAGAAGTATTGAGAAGCACTATCACTGAAAGTGCAGTTGACAGAGGCCGTGGCTCCCTCTGAGACACTGAGGAATTCTGGGTTCTGCTGCACCTTCTGCTGACTTCTCACTCCTGTGCAGAAAGACAAAGGTCAGATAAACAGGACTGGATGCATATGGATGCAGACACCCCAGAATGCCTTTTCCATGGGCCTCCCACCTGCTTTTGTTTCAGCATGAATACATTAGGATTTCTACCCTCCCTCCTAAAACATGTGAGGACAATGCCCTCCCGTATTGTATTTTTATGTTTCCATAGTAATGATCAAACTCACCCCTCTGTTGAAGCCATAGTACCACTAGCAAAACACTTAAGGGATGCATCACTGTTTTCACTGAAGATTTACACTTCAACAGTAACAAAAGGACTGGCATTTATCAAGTTCAAATTTTTCTGCTGTAAGACGCATAAAAAAAGAAAAACCTCAAGGTGTTCATCCAATTAGAAAGAAGTTCCTAGTTTCCACTGCTACCTCAGAATCTTTCCTCTTTCCTCTAGCCACCCCCACAACACACAGACACAAAGGACCATGTGAGAAATTGCATCTGGGTCTCTGAGAAGATGCTGCCATCTGGTGGACCCACCTTAGAGTAAAAAACTAATTTAAGTGCAGACTCTTCTTATGTGAACTATTAAAACAAGAAATAGTCAGATGAGAAGTTCGAGACTTTGTTCAAGTTTATGTATGTGTGTCCTTATCCAAACATTTTCACCAATAGCAACTTATTTTCCGCAATTAAACATTATTTCACTAGTCACTTTTCTGTAATACTTCGGAAGAACCTCTCAATCTAATAATCTTTATCTCTTCTCTGTATCGGCTCATACACCCCTATGTTGTTCCTTCATCATCAATTTTTATATAAATTTTCTATAATAAAAAAATCTGTTAAAATACCTTCATTTATCTATGACACTATCTCTTATCCTCTCTTATCAAGCCTATGAATATTTATCGAACATATTGTGACCCTTTAAAGGCCTTTTTGTCTGTATCTGTCTTTATTATTTATTTGAAATTATTATCTGACAAGGAGAGTCTTTAAAATGCTAAGTGGCATGACCAAGGTTAATTCTGTGGTTTTGCCTTTTGGCTCCATCCCATCCAATATGACAGAGGTATGCTCACCAACAGCTGTGTGAGCCGTGTTCACCACCCAGTTCAGTTCACCAGACCAGTTCCAGGGATGCAGCAGGTCTATGTAACGATTAAGCAGCTTGTGCACTTTACCCACAAACCCCAATTCAGTTCTCTGTAGCTGAGCCTCCTGAAAGAGCCAGAGCAGTTCCTAAAACCAATACAAATCAGGAAGTCATCTCTGAAAGAAGCCACACCTATGCTTTCAGGACACAAACAGAGCCTATCTGAAAAATTGTGGCCACCAGGAAGCTCCAGTTGACTCCTGTTTGGTGGCTCTATAAGCCTTCTTTTTAAGTTTTCTTAGGCTGTATAAGGATGCACATTCCTGAACGTTGGGTGCCAGATGTAGCTACAAATATTCTCTGACCTACTGTTCTGCGTGGACCAAATTTTTACTGCCTGCCTGTTCCAGAAGCCACATATAAAATAAACAGTCTGAGGCTTAATATTAATTACATACTTTTTGGTCTATTAGCTCAGGTATCTTACTACCTAATATCTTAAATTAACCCATTTTTATTATTTTATATTTTACCACAAGGCTCGAGGTTTGTTAACTCACATCTTGCTCCTTGGGTGTTTACATGACATCTGTATGACTCTGCCTTTTTCCTCCCTGCATTCAGTTTAGTTTTCCCATCTACCTCTATTCTGCCCTGCCATAGGCCAAAAAAGTTTCTTATTAACCAATGGTAATAAAACATATTCACAGCATACAGAAGGAAATTCCACATCATCCTTTAAATATGAATTACCATATATAACTTGAGCTCACAGCCTAGCTACATTTTATTTATGTATTTGTCTATTTATTCATACATTTATTTTTGTATCTATTATGTGTGTGATTGTTTTTGTGTGCATTTACATGTGAACACATCCGTGTGAGTGGGTGTTTGTTGGGGGATGCCACTCATTCATTCCTGTTCACTTAGATCCAAAATAATCACACAGAAATCTGTGTTAATTACAATACTGATTGGTCCATAGCATAATTGTACTTCTAGCTAACTTTTATATCTTAAACTAATCAATCTCCATTAATCTGTCTATCACCATGAGTCTGTGGCTTACTGGGTAAAGTTCCATCCAGCACCTGTCTCTGGTGGGGCTACATGGCTTCTACATGACTCTGCCTGCTCTCTCTATATCTTTTCCAGCCTGTCTATGTTCTGTTAAGCTCTTGGCCAAAAGCAGCTTCTTTACTCATTAACCACTAAATGCAACACATATACAGAAGGACTTCCACACCATTTCTGCTTTTCAAATAAAAAGAAAGATTTTAACTTTAACATAGTGAAATTACATATAACAAAAGTTATCAACAAAAATTACAATTACAATATTTATATCTACTTTATCTTTTATCTTAACTAAGGAAAACTATAATTATAACTATTTATTCTTCAACACCATCAAAACCCCCAAAAAGATATAATATTACCCAACTTAAGGGGAAGTGTACTATAATTAACTCCCAAAAGTCTAGAAATGACAAAAACATCTTACTGCCTAGATTGTCACCCAAAGTTCTTCTATATCTTTGGAGCATCTATCTTCAGGCTATAGACCCATAGTATCCAGCAGACATTTCCATGAAGCAGGAAATTCCAAAACAGCTCCATCTATATTGGCAGTTTGTCAGTCACTTTTCTGTGTCCTGCAGAATGGTTGGCAGACTCTTTCATGAAGCAGGAACTCCAAAGGACCTTCTTTAGGTAGCTTCAGCAGTCATTTTCTGTGGGTCCTGCAAGTCCAGTCAAATAGTTCAGGCAAGAGCAGTTTCTGGCCTAGTGGCTAATAAACTCCATGAGGAGCCTCTTCAATGCCCATCATCCACTTGAAGAAGGTTGGTGCTGCCAGGAACAGATGTGTCTCAATGTCATGAAAAGTCCTAAATTGTTAAAACATTTTAAATTCCATATTCCATACTCTTTGAAAGATGTGTACATGTGTACAGGTCAGAGGTCAACATCTTCATCTTGTTTTGTTATTTAAGATGTATCAGAAAAACTTCTATTCAACCAATTATAAAAATTTGTCCTAGATTTCACTGCTTTATCAACACGCCCTTCTCTTCTTCTCTCTCACAGACACAAAAGGACATAGGAGAAATTGCCTCTTACTCTCTCAATGAATCCAGCTGATCATCCCAGGCTGCCTTGTCAATGAACTCCATGTACTGGACTGGCAATGTCCTCACCAGTGCTAGGGCTACAGATGTGGGTGCAGTACTGGATAGCACATGTGTTCTGGGGATCTGAACACAGTTCTTCATGCTGGTGAGAAGGGCACTTCACTGATTGAGTCATCTCTCCAGTACCTATTTATTTATGTTAATAGTACTAATTAAATAAAATATTGTTTATTATAACACATTAATATACACATATCAGATATGTTACTCATTTTCACTTCCCATTTCTTTCCTTTGCACTCACTAAAAGAAAGCTGAGCTAATTTCATAATTTGGTTAATGCAAATAGAACCAAAACATCATGATGTGCAAATAACCTTATTGTATACTGAGTTTGATTCCTTTAGGCACACAGCTAGGAGTGATAAAGCTGGGTTATGTGGAATTTATATTTGGTGTGATTTCTACCAAGGAAATATCACACAAAATTTCATAAGTGTTGCAGTAATTTATATTCTGATCAACTACACATAAATGTTCATTTCTTATCACATTCACAATATCATTGCCTTTTGTTTTCTTGATGATAGCCATTATTTGAGGGTAAGATGCATCTTCAGTATAGATTTTATTTGGTCATCTGTTTCTTTAGCATGGTGGTACTAGAAGTGCTTAGAAGTCTCCATATACCAGTAACAAACATTCACAGCAGGGATGCTGGTGATCATCTAGGGGAGGTATGAGCTCCATCCCTGAGACAGACAATGAATAGAACATCCTAGAAAGACAGAATATGGAACTTTGGAAGAAGCAAAAGTATAAACTTTATCTACTGAAATGGGAGTGCCCATAAAGCTAATCAGCTAATTGGATTTTGGCTATGGAGTTTTATTGAACTTATGTGTCTTCTCCTTTCCACTATTAATCCTGTTTAGGTCCCCACCTATGCCTTTCCACCAGTTCAACTCAAGTTTTCTTTTGGGAACAAGAAGTTACAGTTTCCAGGAGCTCACTTTTGCTTTCCCATCTGTATGTGCTCTTTTAGCTATTTCTCAGCCCCACCCCCTCAGAGGTCAATGGCAACTGATGTCAAGGATAGAGCCATGATTTCTCTAGCTAGTTAATTCGAAGATGGGCTGGAGCTGAGAAGGAATCACCCTTTGATGTGCTCTGGGAGTTTGTCCAGGGGACTATGTTCCCACATCTTGAAGAGCATCCCAGATTCTTTCATTGTACTTACTCAGAGCTTGGTACCTTTTTCCTTCAGGTATCATCTCCAAGTTTGTGAACCAAGATTGACACAATTAGATATTTTTACCTAGAAACTTTAGCCCCACATGCCTGGAAAATTAAGGGGGGACTCAGTTTCTGAGAAAGTCTCTACTCAGATGCCCCACAGAATAACAGGACTTGTTCATGTTGAAGAAAATTTTTATGAGGGTTTGACGAGTCCATGATATGCTGAGCCAAGGACAGTCAAAATGAACAAGGCTATCTATAAATATTTGATGTAGGTAGACATTAGCTCATTAGCCCATCCCAGAAAACAATTTTGAATTACTTTATTATCAGCCACAGCTGACAGGCAGGGTAGACTTTCCTTTACACGTTTATCTCTGGTCCCCAAAAGGCTTTCATGTGGTTCCCAGATGAGCATTTGGGGGACATAAACCTCACAATTGTGAATTGGTTCTGAGTCTACGGTCACCAAACTGGAAGAGGTCACAAACCACTTAAATTTCAGGCTCACTCAGCAAGATTTCAGACACTCACTTGGCCTGCATTAAGTCCACTATGCATTGTCCACTATACACCTGTCTTTCAGCAGGAGCTAGACATTCACATCTACCTTCTCAATTACACATAGGAAGCAGTCTCAGACAGGTGACTCCTAACTTGGGAGAAAGTTAAAGCCATCCCTGGTAAGATGAGGGTATTCAACTGAGAGGAAAAGTGCTCATAGTCCCAGGACTGAGGGTTCCACAGTGAATCCAGTGGACATCTACAGTGACATCAGTGGCCACTAGGATACAATATCCTCCGAGCCCCTGAGATCTCTGCCAATCAGAAGAGGCAGGCTAAGGATGTGGCATCTAAGGTAGAAAAGTAGCACTGGGTACAGCAGATGAAGAAAAATTATTATTATTATATATCTTATTGAAATAAAATATATTTCTTTAAAATATATGTATCTT